CCTGGGGACAAGTGGGGATCCTCCTGCCCCCCTCTCCAGCCTGCCCTGGCCCTTGGCAGCCCCACTGCCAGGGGGTGATGGGGAGGGTGCAGGCAGGGCTCTGCCCTGCACTCCAGCCCTGGAAGGGTCCCTGCTTCTGTCAGACAGGGACCTGGTGACGTGCAGGATGGGGGGGACCTGCATTGCCCCCAGGTCAGCCCTCAGCAGCCCCGAGTCCACATGGGTCACCCTGTGGGTCCCCACACCCCCACCACAAATGTCCCCCTCCAGAGCCTGTGCCAGCGCAGCAACGGGGACAGACGGACAGGCAGCTATTCCCTGCGGACATGGGCACCATGCCCATGACAACACAGTTCTGCTTCAACAGCCGCATCCCCCTGTGCATCCAACGGGGGCTGAGGAAGGGGCTGCTCCATCCTGCCCCAACGCCCTGGGACCCCCTGCCCACCACCTCACCCACCCCAGGGCGCAGGGGCCAGGTCCACCCTCTCCCCTTTGCAATGTGACTGTGGGCACAGGCACTCGCAGCCTGCTCTAACAGCCCTCAGCATCTCTCTGCCACCCCGCCACAGCACTGGGCACCTCTGCCAAGCACCCACTGGACAACTGGGAGCAACTGGGACAGCTCAGAGCAGGGCCGAGTCTTGCAGTGGGGACACAAGACCCCCACGGGGATGCAAGTCTCTCCACAGCACCTCTACCTTCACCACAGCACGTGTCAGCCTTAGAAACCACACGCAAAACAGGGTTAACAATAACAAAATAGGGTTAGTGTGAGGGTCCAACATTTACCATGCTGCAGACCCCTCGGGGTTCATTGCCAGGATGCTTGAGAGGAGGCTGGTGCCAACCCTGGCCCCTCCATGGACACAGCCACATCCTCTGGGCTGGCAGGACACAACTCCCACCCGTGGCACCTCTGCAACCTCAGGAGGCCCCCACGGCTCCCACAGAGGCGCTGCTGTGTCCCCCTCACATGCTGACCTGCTCCCCCCAGCTCGTGATGTCTCTAAAGCAGCTGTTGTGGCTGGCTCACGTGCCTGGGCCATCAGATTAGTGCTGGGCAGTGGGCACAGTGCCGGCCACACAGTGGGGGTTCAACCATCCTGGCAGCCCCCCCATACACCATGGACATTTGCAGAGCTGCTGACCCCAGCACTCCTAGTGTCTCCAACTCCTGCTGCTCACTGGCACCAGCAGCAGCTCACAGTGAGCCCAGGGACCAGCCAGAGTAAGGACCATGGAGGCAGCATCAGGGTGGAGGGCAGACCTGGGGCTCGGCCACAACCCACAGCCCCACGAGCAGCACTACCCATCCTGCCCAGTGCTGCCTTATCCCTGCCCTGCCACCCACCCTGCTCTCGGGGCCAAGTTGTGGCTCTGGGTGACAGCAGGATAGCCCCAACCCTGGCATTGTTCTGTCCAGCCGGGTTCAGGATAAGCAGCCCCGAGGCCTCCTCTCTCTCCTGTTCTTCCCCTACCACTTTTGCACAGCGGGGACGAGCTGTGCTGTCCCCGTCCCGACCCCCGCATCTCCCAGTGTGACTCATGCTTGTTGACCCAGGCTATTTCCAAGAGCGCAGCTGGGCTGATCCCCATGGGACGTTGAGCCCCTTTCCCCGCCCCAGCCCTCTCACTTGGCTCAATACCACCCCCACACTGCTGTTCCCCGGGGAGGGGGAAACAGATGGGTGATTCTGGGTATGAACAAGCCGCCGGCGAAGCCAAGCCCCTGTCTCCCACCCTGTGCCCAATGCAGTGCCCCTGCAGCACCCCCTTCCCAGCAACATTTCTGTGCTGCTCCCCGCTCCCCAGGGACCTGCCCTCAGCCACTTTCCCACGGAGCAGGCAGCTGCATCAGGCCCTTTGAAGTGGCCCTGGGTCGAGCACTGCGTCCCAGGCGTGAGGCTGTCCCCAGCTATAGGGGGAAGGCAGCCGGACTAGAGGGTTCCCTCCCAGGAAGACACCGGGGCACACCTGTCCCAAACTGTCCCCCACTGCCCTAGGGCAAGGCGGATGCTGAGGGAATGTGGGGTCTGGGGTCTGCTTAACCGCCCCCCCTCCATCTTCCCAGTCCTGTTCACCTGGGAGCAGCTCAGGGCATCCCAGGCCTCCATCCTTCCCTCCAGCAACTGCCAATCAGAGGCAGCTCCACTGTTGCCCTGGAAACCTCAGTTTCCATAACAGCGACTGATGGAGGCGCAGGGGAGGCAGATGGTGGCAGAGGGGGACAGCTGTGGCAGGCAGGAAGGGCTGAGGGGCTGTACACCCAGAGCCCTTCCTGGGAGGGGGTGCCAACCCCTCCCCATAGCCCCCTGAGGCCGCAGTGCAGAGAGTGACAGGACTGAAACACTTCCAGCCCAGCACAGCCATCCACTTGCCCGCCTCTCCCGGCTCCCGCCTGGCACATGCTTGTCTTAATTGTGGATTGTGGCTAGACGCACACCTCGGGGGAGTTACTGGCTTTGCCACCTCCCCAGGATCCCCTCTCGCTTTGTTTCACCTTCTTCTGCAGCCGCTGCGCCCCAAGACTACCACCCACATGCCTGACGCCCGTGCTGCAATCCCTGCCCTCTGCTCCCATGCCTGCCCATGCTGCCAGACATCTCCCAGCCCAGGCATCACCCCAGGGCAACCCTCCCGGCCCAAGAGGTCAATATTAGGCGAGAAAATGCCCAAAAGCCCCAGCGTGTACCTGGATTTGCCCCTTGCCCATGATCTTGTCCACGATCTCGTTGTTGTCCTTGTTGAGCTTGGTCTTGTCGTAGCACTTCTCATAGCAGAGGATGCGCAGGGACTGGGAGCCCTCCAGCTCAATCTCGAACTCCTGGGGCACAGAGGGAGAGTAGCTCAGCCCCAGAGCAGCTTCAAAACTGCGGCTGGAAAGGAAAGAGAGGGGCACAGCAAAAAAATGCATTCCACCCTCCTCTCACCTCGTTCCACTGTGGCTCTGTGGTGTCCCGAAAACCCCTGGTCTTGGCTTTGCTGACAAAGTAGCCAAAGGAGTCCACCTCCAGCGTGCAGTAAAGGTCTGGGGGAGCAGACAACCCTCAGTGCCCTGGCTCCAGCAGGGAACGTCCCCACTGGGGACCACCGCAGGCAGAGAGGGGCCACGTGCTGGACCCCAGCTCCCCCAGTGGCACCGTCCCCTCCAAGCAAAGCACCCACACTTACTGGCAGACTGCTTGAAGCCCTTGGCGGAGTGGACAATGACATGCAGGAACCCATAGAGCCCCGGGGACTCATCATCTGCAGTGGGGAGAGCAGAGGCTGTGTCAGGGCCCAGAGTGCTGCGGGGCTGGGGTGACACCCCAGTGTCCCCAAACCCCAGAGGGCCATCCCTAAGGTCTGGGAGAGGACTCGTATCCTCACTGTCAATCATCCCTGCTGGACACGCCGAGCTCTCCTGCTGCTGGGGGACATTCCCAGCAGGGATGGCTGATCTCACCCTGAGGACACCCAGGTCCTGCCCAGCCCATGGGGGTGCTGGAGGGACCCCAAAGACAACCCCATGTTGCAGCCGGGATCGCTCCAGCTGCGAGCTGGACCCTGCTCCAGCAGTGCCACCTGGTGGGTGGCTGTCCCCTGCACAGCTGTCTCTGAGCAGGGACCCTGCTGAGAGACCCTGCAGCTCCTCCCTGGCATCATCTGGAGGCAGAGGGATCCAGTGGGCACTCACCATCCTTGTTGCTGGTGACCGGGATGTTGTGGACAGTTCGTAGCTTGAAGCAGGACCCCGTGAGCACCTGCAGCTCCACCGAGCTCAGGACAAAGGCCTGGAGGTCTAGGGGAGGACAGGAGAGGAGTTTCAGAGGGACAAGGCCAGCACTGGCCGTGGGGACCAGATGGCAGCAGGCTGCAATCCTGAGAGACCCTCAAAGGGCAGGTCCCTCGAGGGGACGGAACCCCCAAGAAAGCCACAGCAGCCCCAAACGTACCCTTTTTCTGCAGTTTCTGAATGGCCTCCCTCCACTCGGACCTCTCATAGTCAGATGACAGCAGGAAGAGGTAGCTCTATGAGAGACAGGGTGATGCAGCAGGCTGTGCACAGGCAGGGCTGAGCCCCCCCCATGCCCCCTGCCTGCCCTCCTCACCTTCCCGTTGCGGTTGTGGATGCGGAAGGGAATGGCAGGCGAGTTGAGGAGCAGCCAGAATTCGTTCTCAAACATCTTCTTCTTGAGGCGCTCGATGGCCCGACTCTGCCCCTTGTTGGCTTTCTGCAGGTGGGGAGCAGGCCAGAGCTTTTAGAGGCACCCCCAGGCCCCCCATGTCCCATCTCTGACCCCAGAAGAAGGCACCCATCCCGGTAGCAGGTCCTATACCCTCCCCAACCACACACTCCCTCCTCTCACCTCCTTCTGCACCTCGCTCTTGATGGCTGAGATCTTCATCTTCATGTCCTCCAGCTCGTGGTCAGGGATGACATGGACCTGCGAGCAGTGCTCCGATTCCTCCGGCGAGGGGAACAGCAGGTCGGCCAGGGGCACGTACCACTTGCAGTCGTACTGCTGGTGCTTCCTGCGCCGGGATACGGGTGCTGAGTGGCACCTGACTCCCTCCCGGCACGTCCCCCTGCCCACTGGAGGACAGGGAGGGGGTGTGACACCTTCCCCCTGTGCCCAAAACCCTCCTTACCCCACCGCCGTCTTCTTCAGCTTGGCGCAGAGCAGCACGTCGGTGAAGAGGAAGACGTGCCGCAGCTTGCGCGAGCCCTCTGACAGCTCCACCAAGAAGCCATCCTTGATCAACTGCCGGGTCTGTGGGACGGCAAGGCTGGTGTGAGAGCAGGCAGGGAGCACAAACCCACAAACCGCAGGGGATGGATGCTCCTGTCCCTCTCTGCGGCTCAGACACCAGAAGCATGGGAAGGTCCATGTCCTCTGGGTGCCATTTTGGGTCCCGTAAGGTGCCAGCAAGCAGTAAAGAGTGGGGAGGGTCCCTAACCCTGCACCCAGGGCTGTGTCCAGAGGAAACACTCCACCTCCTGGCCAAGCACCACGGAGCTCCTCAGGGTGTAGACACCAGCCAGAGGCTGGCAGAGGGCTCAGCCCCCACTCTGTGCCCCAGGCCGGGGGCCCAGGCCCTGCCCCCCGCCACCGCCTCACCTCCCCCTTGGGGGTCGTGACTGCTGTCCTCCGGGGGTCAATGTCCTCATTGATGCTGGAGAGGAAGTTCTGTGAGATGCGGAGGGCGTCCTGGAGCAGCGGGTAGTCAGGGTGGTCAGCAGGGGTGTGCTTGAGGAGGTCCTGGAAGGGGACAGGTAAGAGTTAGTGGCCCGAGGGCACTGCTCTGCCTGCAGCAGCCATCCCAGACACCCCCCCAGCAGCAGGTCACCAGGAGCAACAGGGGCAGAGCCCCCCACCCCAAGACTGGTGTCATACTCACGTGCAGGACGAGGGTGCTCCGTGTCACCCGGTCGATGGGTTTGTACAGCAGCGCTGCAGGGAGAGAGGAGGGGTCAGCAGCCACCCCTTGGCTCCTCTCCCACCCACGAGAGCCAGCACCACAGAGGGGCAAGGAGGGGAGACCAGAGACCCCCCCCCAGGTCTGCATGGTGCCCTGGGTGAGCACCTGGTGTCTGTTCTGCACTGAGCCAGCCATCACCGCCCAGAGCCGGGCCAGTGTGCGGAGCCCAGTGCTGACACATGCCCAACATGAACCTTAATTCCGGGACTGCAATTGAAAGATATCACCAGCACCCTGAGGTCCCCACAGGGGTGACAAGCCCAGACAACTGCCACATGGCACTTCCCACATGATGCCCTGCTCCAGCCATGGCCCCGTGCTGCCGAGGTCTGTCCCACAATGGGGACACCAACCCAGACACCACGTCCTCCTCCTCTCTGCAGCTGCGGGCCATGGGTGGCAAAGTCAGGGGGGGCATCGCAAACACTGCTGTGCCCCAACTACCGCCAGCTGTGGGACATCCCCACTGTGACTGTGTCAGAGCAGTCCCCTCTGGTGTGAAGGACCTCCCTGGGCACCAGCACTGACAGTTTTCCGTCTGGTGGCTGTGGAGTGGAAGAGCCACTCATCCCCCCCAGCAGCTTTTTCAGTTTCCCTTTTGGCTCAGCAGAGGGTCCCGTCCCCGCCTGCCCTGGCGGGGCTCTGCCCTCTCATGAGACACCCCATATGCTCCTGCCCTGGCCAGCTCTGGGTGCAAGAGGAACCCAGCTTGCCCCATCAGCAGCAAAACTCTCACCTACAAAGACCCCAGGGTTGAGGCATTATTCCAGCGCCACTACCCCATGTCCCCTCCCTGCAGCTCCTACGGGCAGCTCCATCCAGGGCAGGGGATCAAGCTGCCCCACACACAAGGCATTGACAGCCCCTTTCTCTCTCTCACTGCGCACCCTCCCAGTGGGAAACCGTCCAATGCCTCTGGGTTTTCCCATCGCTTTGGGCCACATCCCCAGACTGATGGAGCCATGCGGCACCAGGCTTTGGGCTGGGGGAAGAGGAGGGAAAGGTGCCCCCAGCCCCATCCTGTACTATGAGCTCCTGGAGGAGGCTGCCTCAGGCTGTCTGGTCCTGAGAGAGGGTCTCCTGTCCTGGTGAGCAGGGGGTTCTGCTGGGGCTGGACCCCAAATCGGAGGCTTGCATCCCGCACAGCTCCATGGCAGCAGTTAAATCAGAGCTCTGCTCTCTGTGGCACCCAGCGAGAGCCCTGATCTGGGACACAGGGAGCAGGCAGGGTGTCCCCCCCTTTCCCTATCCTGGACCCACAGGGAGGACGGACCCTCATCGCTACAGGCACATGCAAAGCAT